GTTGTACGCTAAGCGACAAAAGTCGAACATTTTTCAACTTTCATATGTCGCGTTGCAAGCTCGTGTGTGCATATCTACGTGTACGAGCGTGAAATTTCACATGCATTATTTTTGCCGGTCGCTTAGCTGGAGGAGGGCAAGCGATTGTCGCCTCACCGCACAGGCTCCATAGGAAATGAATGGAGAGCGAGCAACGTCGCCTCCCGTGTGTCGAGCCCTTTATAGGTCGCGTCGCAAGCTCGCGTGTGCACGTGTACGAAATTTCACATGCACTATTTTTGCCGGTCGCTTAGCTGGAGGAGGGCAAGCGATTGTCGCCTCACCGCACAGGCTCCATAGGAAATGAATGGAGAGCGAGCAACGTCGCCTCCCGTGTGTCGAGCCCTTTATAGGTCGCGTCGCAAGCTCGCGTGTGCACGTCTACGTGTACGAGCGCAAAATTTCACATGCACTATTTTTGCCGGTCGCTTAGCTGGAGGAGGGCAAGCGATTGTCGCCTCACCGCACAGGCTCCATAGGAAATGAATGGAGAGCGAGCGACGTCGCCTCCCGTGTGTCGAGCCCTTTAGGCTCTTACTCCAGGACTCCATTGTTTCAGACTAACTTTAAGCCACATCCATGCAAGCCCAAAATGCCCAAATTTAGTGGGTTTAGATTAGGCCTACACCTGGTTTAAACATGCTCTTGTCTGCAAAACCGGCCCTAGGAGTTTTTTTTTAAATATGTTCACATTAAAATGTCTACATCTAGTGTTTCGCCATTAAACAAAACTCAAGTTTGTGATTGCAGATATCCAGTTGTACTTTGGAAGGGTTTAGCACTTTTTATCATAGAAAAAATGTGTGAGAATTTTTTGAGAATCCAAAAACTGTAAATATTGTAAATGTGTATTAATAAATATTTTATAACTTCTGCTTTGAAAATGCTGCTTCATTTATCATTTTTACTACATTGTTGTCCAGCTAATTTCCTTCGCCATCTGTACATGCTGCTGTTTAATTATTTATTTTTTTCTCCTCATTGACTTTTGTTTTCWCGTGACCACTTAAAATATACAAGTTTGATAAAGTACTTCACAKGGTATTGTTGTACAACAGCAGACATTCTACACATGCAAAAATGTTTTTTTTTAATATCTCCGTTGTGTTATTCATACTTTTTGATATGCCTTAGCTTTTATCTGGTAAGTTTTTATGGTCACCAAAGAACGTTTTGGTTACAAAGTGTGAGTTTAAGCAGTGTTGAGTGGAAAGTGGAAACAGCTAGATGATTAGTGAGTGCAGACAAGTCGAGGAGAAAGCAAGCAAATAGAAACAGAAAACTGAGGGGGAAATGAAGGTGAGAACACAGAGCAAGCACAAGAGGGAGACAGAATACAAAGAGACAAAGCTTGATTTTAATGTATGAAAAAACTGTTTTCTTCTGTCTCACAGTTTTTAAAGATGCGCAAAATCTTCTCCAGCACATCCCAAAGATTCTTACTGAGGTTCAGGTCTGGACTCTGTGGTGGCCAATCTATGTGTAAAAATTACGTCTCATGCACCGTGAACCACGCTTTCACAATTCGAGCATGAAGACCATTGCCACCAGGGAAGAAGCATAACCTGGTGCCAGGCAATCAGCTTGCAATCATTCTTGGGACACATAACACTGCTGAACCTAGACCAGACCAACTGCCTCCACAGGCTTGTTCAGTAGCATCTTCTTATTCTGATGACCCCATCACTTTAGAACAGAGTAAACCTGGACTCATCAGACCACATAACCTTTTTCCATTACTCCAGAGTCCAATCTTTAAGCTYYCTGGTGAATTGAAGCCATTGTTTCCCCATTAGCCTTACTGATAAGTGATTTTCTTACAGCTATACWGCTGTTTAGTCCCAATCCGTTGAGTTTTTCTTTACATTGTTTATGTAGAAATGTTCTCATATTCAGTATTAAAATCTGCAATCACAAAAAAAGGTGTTTGCGTCTTTCTCTATAATGTATGTACACTTCTGGTTTCAACTGTAGTTTGTTGTCTTCAGCAATATGCATATTAGATGATTATCAGAATGCACAAAGTATTGGGYAGTGGATATGCAAATATAATCATTTTGCACCACAATGTGATTTAGCAAACCTGAAACTGRTTTGTGTYRCTGTTTTAGCTTCTATATTTAGCACTTTTTAAAAGCAAGTGTAAAAATGGCTGCTTCAGATTCTAGTTATCCACTCTGCCACAGTGTGTAGAAGACAGAAAAGAAAATTAAAATGAGTCCACTTTAATAAAAATAAAACATCAACTGCAGGTTATAAACTCCAAAAACATGAACATAAATTAGACAAAGGATTTTACAATGTAAAAACAAATGTGCATTGAAAAGGCTTTTTGCTCTAAGCTCATTATCAAATCAAATTTTTCAAAAGGTACACTTAAAACAGCTGCCATTGGCCAAAGTGCTGTATATAAATTGAATAACATTAAAAAAAAACACTGAGCATAATAGACCATATCAACAAAAAGTAAACAAATACAGTATGGTTAAAAGGAAAAAAAATTGTATCGGTCCTCTGGACGAGTTCTTCTCTAATGAAACGTTTCGTCTCTCCTCCAAGAGACTTCTTCAGTCTGAGAGTTTCAGGCAAAATTCAGGCTTTTGAGTCCTGCCTCCATGTGACTGATACTCACATCACATGGAGGCAGGACTCAAAAGCCTGAATTTTGCCTGAAACTCTCAGACTGAAGAAGTCTCTTGGAA